ACAAATTTAAAAGTTATAAATCAAGCAGTATTCCTACTACTTTATACAATATTTCAACGAAACAGAGTATAGAATAGTATTAGGTGTATAATTAACACCTTTCTAAAGCTTAATAGTATCTGAATCTTGAGGAAAAAAATGAAGGATCATATTCGTGCCTACCACTTTTGAGTTTTTCTAAGGATTTTATAAGGAATTACTTAGGAAATGCTACTATGTCTGCTAAGTAAGCATTCACAGGAAACATACGAGCTCAAGTCCTTGGGATTCCAAGGATTACACTGTCTGTACCATGCTTCATTACTGACAAAATAGGAAAATGATATACTGTCAAATGAATGTTTGTGTCTTCCTACAATTCATATGTTGAAGCCCTAATCCTTGATGTGGTGATATTTGTATTTTGGTAAGTAATTAGAGTATAAGGATGGAGTCCTTGTTAACAGAATTAGTGCCCTTATAAGAAAAACACAGAGGACTTGTTTCTTAGCTTTACCTGCTATGTGAGAATATAGCAAAAGGTAAACACTGGTTATCCAGAAAAGAGAGCCCTCCCCAGAACTAGACGATGCTGACTCTCTGATCTTGGACTTTTTAGCCTCCAGAACTGTAAAAAATAAATTTCTGGCTAAGCATGGTGGCATATACCTGTAATCCCAGCTCTCAGGAGCCTGAGGCCGAAGGATCAGTGTGAATTTGAGGCCCGCCAGGACTTTACAGTGAACTCAAACCCAGTTTAAACTACCCAAGACCTTATCTCAAAAAAAAAAAAAAATCTGTTACCTAAGCCACTCAGTCTATGATGTTTTGATATAGCAAGATGACTAAGCTATAATCCTATGGAAGTAATGATTTTATCTCTAAAGTCTCTTAAAACTAACATTGTATGATTTCTCCTTCTTTATTCTGTTGGAATAAAAACTGTTCATAAGCTACAATTTTGCTAGGAACACAGTATCAGCTCCTCTAAGAAATGTGGGTCTTGAAGTTCTAAAAGCACGAAACTTTTTAAAATTTTATAAAATAAAATCAGCAGAAATATAATTAACCACCCATATTTTCCTTAGTATGGACAGACTATAAGATATATATGGATCTTATTGTTTGTAACTTTTAAAAGCTTTACCTACAAATTTCTAAGACACTGTCTTATTTGTGAAGTTATGGAAAAAGATTTAATGAAAAATTTGATTATTATCATTATTAATAACAACACTAATTGAAACTTATTGTGTCCACATTTATTTTATATCACTACAATTCACTGTGCCTTATAGTTCACTGTACACATGCCTCACTCTCCATTAAATTTGTAAACAATTTTAAGGTCAAAAACTACGTTTTCATATATCAAATGCTTAGCATAAAACAGGCACGATGATAATACATATTAAATGAATGAGCTAATGAATGGATGAATGGCATAGCACTAGGATTTTTAACTTACAAAGTATAAAGCAATATCTTTTATACTGTAATCTGAAAGACAGGCCAGAGCATTAAAGGCAAGTAGTGATATAAATTAAGTTATATTACAGATCGATAAAATGGATAAGATGTGCCTCTTAGTTTAAACAGAAAAGTCAGTTTTAAAGTGAAGCATCAAGTCTTCATAGAGAAAATGGTACCTTATTTGAATTAGACTAATTGAAAACTATTTCCCAACAAGGGGAACAGTGTGAACAATAACATAATTGGTTTCTGATTGCTGCTATAACAAATCACCACAAATTTATTTTCTAGCTCTGAAAGGCAAAGAGGTCTGAAATGGATCCCTCTGGGCTAAAGTCAAAGTTTCATAGATCTGTGTGTCCTTTTCAGGCAGCTCTAAAGAAGTACTCCTTGTCTTGTCCTTTGCATCTTTTAGAGGTGGCCTGTGCCCTTTGGCTGTCAGTACTGGGCCACCTTCAAAGCCAGCAATAGCTGCTGGGTCCTCCTCCTAGCCCATGTCTCTTGCACTGACTCTCTTGCCTCTTTCACAAAGAACAACCCTGGTAATTGCACTGGCCCTCACTAGATAATTTAGGTGGGGTTAACCGAATGCCAGCTGATTAGCAAACTAAATTCCACCTGCTTGCTATCTTACTTCCTTGTCCTTAAATAGGCAACTGAATGTTAATGTCAAATGTAAACTGTCTCAGAAAATAAAGAATTCAAGAACAGATTCAGGGAGATAATCAAGCAGAACAAACAACATATTTACAGATCACAGGTATTAGGATGTAGACATCTTGAGAGGCCATTTTTCTACGTGGCATGTTTGGGCAGCAATATGATTCAACTAGAAATTGTGTGTATTCAACATACATTTGAGAATTTTATAGGACTAGGTAAATAGTAGCTATTTTCAAAACATAGAATACCCCACAAAGGAATGTGGAGGTAGGGACTCTTTTGTAAGTAATAATTCTCTTTGTGTCAAATTAATACTAGTAGTTGCCATCATTTTGCATATGTTACATATTTTAAAGTGACATGATTATGAGTTTTGTGCAACCCACAATGCAACAACTGTTGAAGATGCAAAAGACTCAACCAATATCTTAAAAGACATGATCAAGGAAAGACTTAAAGAACATAACTTAATACTAGTTTGATCGACTGCCGCCATAGAGTTTGAAAGGAAAAAAAATAATAACAATATTGCAAAGGCTTCAATTAAAAGCTAGTCACTTGGTTCGAAAGTTGAGCCCTAATATGTTAATTCAGACACACAAATATGACAACCAAAGTATATGAATGTATGCAAGTCAAAGCCAGATCTGTTTGACCTTACACTTAACTGGGCAACAGGATGTTGATGTCACTGCAAACCATATCAGAAAACAAATAATGCAAGAATATAATGAATTCAGGGAGAGGATCATGGAGAACACAGGTTAGACACATGCAGAGAACTAAATAAAACAGAGAAGGACCAGCTAGTATCCATATCATAGAGACAGAAAGATCCGAAATCATTTTAGGTAATTTATAGACTAAAAGGAGCAAAATTCACCTAGAGTTCAGATGAGGATGGAAAAGAAAATTACCAGAAGAAACCTCTTAGAGAATATTTTGATGATAGGGTTTTATAAAAATGCTGTGAAATATTCTAGTATGCTAGGCTTTCTTTCCTCAAGTTTGGTGCTGTTACTCTTCTAACAGCATATACATTTTAGAAAAGGATTCACTAGGAATGTTTACAGCATACTTTGTAGACTGTGTTGTTCATACTACATTTTAAATGGTTTTCCCTTTATTTCCACACTCAATTCTTCAGCCATTACAATGGACAACTTCTAAAGTTACCTAAGATGATAGCCATAAGATATATTAGTGGTTAATACAATACCTTCCAGCTCTCTCTTTTCTGTTTTTGTAATTATTTCCTTGGATGGCAGGAAATATAGGTGTTCATAACTACAACAAAACACTTAGCCTTAGAAAGAACCAAGAAAGATAATGGAAAAAATACAGCAAAATGTGTTTCCAATTAGGCACAGATGCTTTCATTTATTCTAAGCGTTCTTGTTTAGTTAACTGTACAAATTTTTAATCATATAAATGTGGTGGTATTGCAGCCTCATGCTCTTGATTACCCTTGTCTTCCAGTTGACTTCACACGCCTCTGGCTTCTGGCATCGCTTACTCACAAGTACTGCATCTGAGGCTCTATGAATTCCAGGAGATACCTGTTAAGCAATGTAGCCGGGTGTGGAATTTTTTTGTTTATCGTGTGTGTGTGTGTGTGTGTGTGTGTGTCTGTGTGTCTGTGTGTGTGTGTGTGTTTTGCTACAGCAAAAATTAGAAATGGTACTGTGATACATTTCTCTGAGTCAGCAGCACCATTGGCTACTGGCTATAATGCCATGAATGCCTGTTTTCCTGTTTTTTCCCCATGTTTATTTCTGTGTGGAATCATCTGGTCACCATTCATTCATGCCTGTACTATTACAGTGAGAAAGATTACCAGCCTTCACCCAAAGATCACTATGCATAAATCCTTAATAAATCAAATGGAGGAGCCGGTGTGGGAGAGAGTACCCCCAGTGGTGGAGATCAAAGACTCAGAGCCTTGCCTGTATCCCACTGTGCTGAAAATAGTGATAGGGGTGCAAGGAAATGCTGGGGAGAAGGACAGACTGCAAAATTGGTCTAAGTTTTGTTTGACATTTGATGAGAATAGACTTTCAAAAGTAACATTTGGTTATGGAGTTATTAAGGCTTCATTATGTGCATTCCTCACAATTACTTGTACTTAATAATCAACTTTGTCTTTAAATTTAACCCATGAGAGAAGAGAAATAGAAAAGCCAAGCCATGATTCAATGTCATAAAAGTCCCTGGACACAGCCCTGTACCTTACATGGCACTTCTGCTTGTTTCTTTTGCTGGGGAGTTCTTTATCCAAGCCAGTGTGATTGTTTTCAAAGTCCTAATAGGTTGATCGGTAAAGAGTAGACTTTTGCTGCATTTGCTGTCATAAATAACTAATAGGAAACAAGCAGAAGATAGCTGTCACGTGGCAGTCCTTTAGCCTTGTCGCTCAGGATGTGGTCACAGACCAACAGCCTTGTCATCCTCAGGGAATTTGTTAGAAATGCAGGGGCTTGGGTCCCTACCCAGAACTGCCACATCGGAATATGCATTTTAATGAGTTTTCTGGTTATCCAGAGACACAGTGTTCAAAAATAGCGTCTCAGAGACACCTTTTGACACAGGTATTTTGTGTTATTCAAAACCACTGAAGTAATAAATGAAAGGGGAGAAATAAAGAATCATTTAAAGCAGTAGGATTACACTTCAAACACATGGGACAGTTGACATGTCCACATTGACTTTGAACTCTATAATCATGAACATAATGAATATTAAAGGCAAACATGTCTCCTGTTTACAAGCTTTTTACCTTACCATTTTCTTGTTTTCCTCTTGTTATGTTGTTTGTTTCAGTAATCTTTGGATGTCCTATTAGCGTCCTGGTTTATTTTTATTATATTAAGAGGAAAATTCCTTACCCTGGCATTTTCCAGCAGTTCTTTGAAGACAGACACTCCTCTCTGACTGTCCTCTCCTTGGGGTCTTCTGAGGCAAGCCCATTTCTTGAGAACTTTCAGAAATCATGCATTTGACTTGTCCAAAAAGAAAAAAAGAAACATTATTTTAGGCTTTGTTTAGGATACTTTTTAAACATTGTATGTATGGTTTTGCATACTACACTTATTTTCACACACTAATAAATTAAGATCAGTTAAGATCAATCAAAATTCTAAAAACATTTAAGAAATAAAGTCCTTAGGCCAAAAAAAAAAAAAAATGAAGCTCCATAAATTTGTCTAGGGAAATGAGGTCAGCAGGCAGCCTGAAGACACATGCTCACTACCAGAGCATATGAAACAAATCTGCACAGCTTGTGAACATCAAACACACCCATTAGTCATTGAAAACGGAAACACAATTCCCCATTGAGAGAGCTTATACAGTATTAACTAAACACTAAATATGGTGACAATCATGCAGGTTTAACCCTGGACCTGACTCATAGGCTATTACACCTCCAAAATGTAACAACAAGGAATATTTATCCTAGCAAGCCTTCTGTAAACACACAGCTTGGCCTTTGTCTAACCATGCTCATTCATGTATCAATGATTTTGCCTATCTTGGCCTCACTTTCCATCTGTAAATCCCTCTCCCTCTCCCTTTCTCTCTCTCTCCCTTTACCCACTTACCTCTGTCTTTGATTTTCTCTACTCCTATACTTTCATGAGGAGCATGAATTATGAATTTCCAAAGTGGGACTAACTTTAACGGTGGTTGGTTTGGATTTTCAGTTTTCTAATAATGTAGATCTTTGGAAAGAAGAGCTAAAATTTGAGTTTACATAAATTGTCAAGTATGATTTTTTTCATAGTTTAGAAATAATCATAACCGATTTTCTAGCACAATTATGGATTAACATCGCTCACATTTTAGTCTTCTTTGACTCATAAGATTTGAGTATGATAGATAAAATTCCTACTGCTTTCATACCGATTTATAGATAAGGTACTAATTTGGGGGCAAAGCTTAATGAAGAGACAGGCTAAAGTCCAGGTTTTATGAAACTAAGCTTAGTCTAGGAGAGTTACTTTAGAGATTTCATTGTTATAGATTTTTTCTTAAAGTAGATATACTCAAATATGAAATTATTAAAAGTGTCTTCTACCACCACTTACAATCTTTCACAATCAGAAAGTCCTGAAAATGTTACAGAGTGTCAAGGGTCACCCACCATATGTCAGGTGTTTAGCAGTAGGTGAAAACACGGCAGTGTGTTACCAGCAGAGAGTGCCATGAAGGGAAAAATCAAGTCTTTCCACCTCTTTGATCTCAAGCCTTTCCTTACTGAACTCATTGGCTGTTTAAAAGCGCTCAGACACATTAAGCTTAACATCACTGAAGACAGGTAAGAGCCAGGCTAAGATCGGATGCTAGCTGGAATCCTAGTGTCTGCCTGTAGATATATAATAATAATAATAATAATAATAATAATAATAATTCTGGAATAAGAGGTAACTTGCATTGAAAATCAAGATCTAGGCAGTAGAGCTGGACAGGTCTCCGGGCTCGAAAAAAGACTCAGGGGCCCCATACAGAGTTCTCCTTCTGCTATTGTCATAGTTAATACATATTTGCAGAGTGAACAAGAGAATGGATATAATATAGATACTGGCTGTGAAGTCAACCTGCAAACCTATCAGCTCAATCCCTTCTTTCTTCCCAACCTCATCTCTCTTCATTCTTTTCCGCGTGCCTCCTTTCCACGTCATGGTGGAAATATGTGCTGCCTTGTATGGTCGAACAAGTCCTTTTCCCTCCTTGCTGGCATGGATCCTTCAGCTTAGCTAAGGCCAAAGCTATTATATTTCTCCTGAAGGACACTGCAAATTGTTTGAGCTTCTTCTACTTAGACTACCATAAACAAAGTTGAAAGACCAGTTTTTCCTTCCCTGCTCATTTTGGATTGCATTTGAATTGCATTTCTGAAATCATGTTAGTCATACAATTCGTGTGTGTGTCTGTGAGTGTGTGCTTACATATTCATATTTAAACCAACTTGATGAAAAGAAAAGTCTAAGACACAATAAATTCCCTCAAAAGTCTGAACATTTTTTGAAAAGACAGATATATCAATAGGGCTGTAAGTACTTATAAAATATCCAAGTGAGATTTTTATTAAGAAAAATTGTATGAGAACATATCGATAGACTCAAAAGAAAACAGTAATAAATATAGGTTTACATTTGCATTGTAAATGATTAGAAATATTTAATTGCTAATATTTTATTTTTAAATTATGCACTATAAAGATTTACCTGCCTAATAACTAGAGTACTTACATCTATAAGATTTATATTACCATCAGAACATTAAAAATTCTTCACAATAATTTAGGAGCCAAATCAACCATGTCTTTAACACTTTCCTTTGCCATATACTTAATATTTGAGTTACCAATTTTTTTCCTTTATAGCTGCAACCACACAAGTCTTTTTTTTTATCAAATTAGGTTTCCATTGGAACAAGCTGTTTTGATTTTGGTAGTTCTCATTACATTTCTTCCATCCAAGAAGAACACACTTCTGTTTTTCTCTTAATGGAATACTAGCTTGACTCACAATGCCAGAAAAAGATCGTGGTTATTTTGAAAGCACATTTTAAAATGTCCTTTTTGTATTACATTAATAGCTGGTATTAACATTTGTAAGAATTCTTACAAGTCAGATAGATGCAACTGTGCTCCGTGACTCCTCTGAGCACAGAACATTCCTAACTTTTCCCCATACCCAGGATTTGGACTTTGGCCATGGATACTATCTCAAGATGAATGATGCTCACTGGGTAAAGAAAAAAAATCAGAGCTTTAGGAGCATGTTCTTTTAATGAAAATGTCTGAAAGACCAAAGGATCACAGCCTGTAAAAGTAACAAAAGCATCTTTCAGCAAAATAGTGCAGTCAAGAGATTTCAGTCCAGAGTGCTAGCGTAGCATCAGATTCTCCTAGTCTCTTTGAGCCTGCAGTTGAGCCAAAACTCTCTTGTGCCAAGGTTTCTTGCAAGATTTCCTGTCCTTCCTGTTTCTATATGAGCCAGAAATACCATGAGAACGACCTTTCTTGAGGTATTTTTGCACTTCTACTCTGGGCTGAAGATAATCTCATATTGGGGAAAATTTTTTAAATTGTGCAAATATTTTCAGCTTTCAAACCATCAAATGAAATAAGTTCCCCCTCAAGAATGAAATTTCAAGTTTTGTTTGCTTGGCCCTAATGTATCTCCGGTAGGAAGTATTCATGTTCAATACTCCAAAATTTTTTAACTCTTCTAAAATATTTTCATGAGGAAGTATGTAAAACAGTATACAATAGAATCATATTCTTAGCTTTTTAAAATGTCATTACTGAAGAAATGTACAATGCAGAGTTGTGTTCTTAACGTATTAGGGTATATGCTATATTATTATATCAAATATTTGTTTTCTTTGTTCTTAACCCCTTTGTTCCAAGGGTCAGGATATCCTGATGCTAAGTACTATTGCAAAATAACTGAACAAAAATAAAAATAGTCAAACCCTTAGGAAACTCTTCAGTTGTTCTGTCAAGGAAGTTTGTGACTGAGGAGTGAGTTTAAGACATTATTCAGGAAATATGGTAATAGAGTGCGGGGGCCTACGTGTCCTTATTAAATAAAATCATTTTGATTCAAAAGAGCTTTGATATCCCCAGTCTGATAGAAAGGAAAGGTAAGATAAGAACAAAAAGGCTGTCAGAGTGGCAGGTGCAGCAATCTGGTGCATAAATCCTTTCGTCTTTTAAGAGAGGAAAATAAAGAAAAGCCTGTCTTTCTGATAAAACAGACAACTAATTATTCCTTCATTTGCTTTATGAATATCTGATTGTTATAGAAAGAGCTGCTTGATCAATGGTTTAATAATGAAATTTTTTAAAAAGTAGTGTCTTCAATGTCTTCCATTGTTCTTTCATACCCTCAAAGCCTCTTGTCCTTTTTCACCTATTAGGAAAAAAAATAGGTTTCCTGCTATAATTTTCTATCCAGGAAAAAAAAAAAAGATAAATCACTTAATTCACGGTGGAAAATCAAATTTATTAACTAGAGATTTAGAGGAATAATAACAACAACAAAATTACAGTAGCTTTTACTGCTTTCCACTTTCAAACAGTGAGGTGAGAACAATGAAATAAAACTTCCTCTCTGCTGGTCTTTTTCTCCTCCCCAAGTCTCCTCTGTGCTCCCCTAAGGAAACACCAAATGATTGTATGATCAGCCAGCCCTGAATGGAATGTAGAGCACGAGCAACAGATTGTACATCAGCAAAACAAAGTGCCAAGCAAAACAGGGCCCTTTGCAAGGCAGAGCTGTGAAGAGGGGGTGCTGCCGTGTTCTCCAAGAAAGCAGGGGCTCTCCGTGTGAACCTTCAAATTTGAATTGTTCCTACAGACCCAATTTTCTGGCAAAATTGCCAAGCATAATACCACCCACTTTCGTTTACGTCTGTGGCCTTTCACATAAGCAACAGGGGGCAGCTCTTGCTGCTGTGTCCATTCTGACTTCCAGGGTGAGCGCCTTCATCTCCGAGCCTCGGGAAACAAGAGGCCTGGTCACACTTGTCCTCAATTCAACTGTGCTCAGGTGGAGACGCAGTGGTCATTGGCCCCAATAGTAAGCCCACATTGCCCTCTCCCCAGAAAGCGAGTCTTCCCTTTCTTTCCCTTATTTTCCTTGCTATTTATCCTCGCCCTCCCCATGACATCCTTTAAAATGATTACTTTCCTTTGAAACTAGTTTTTAGCCATTCCTAGCCATGTGCCCACACTGTACAAAGCCTCTGCACGTGCAGAAGAGGACCTTGCTGCCTCCCTGATTCCCAACTTTCAGAGTTAGCTTTGGAATGTGATGCAGCGTTACTTCCCTTCCAGCTGAAGGGCAGCTGAGGTTACAAAGGGACCTGACTAAAAGGCCAAAACTCAGTGAGGTTTGCTGAGAACCAAGTGACAGCAACGGGGGAGGGTGTGGAGAAGGAAGCGGAGTGTTGGACCCAAGGTCCTGAGGATTTCCCTGTCCCAGCCCAG